GCGCAGAACAGACAACAAGGCAGCCAGCAATCAGCTGGGGCTGGGACATGCAAGGTCAAGGACAGTGTCCACCCCACCCTGGGCCGATGGGGGCTGCCCAAGGGACAGGCTGGGGCTGAGGAGGGCAGAGATGGGTGACAAGCACCTGGAGACAGGGCTCAAGGAAGAAAACTACCTGAAATAGAGGAGAACCAAGCTGGGGCTCTCCTGAGACACCTCAACTCCCAGGGGTGGCACCCAAGGGTGCCCAGGGGCAGCTGAGGTCCTTGTGAGACCCTCTCTGTTATCTCTGCAAGATGATGGGAACAGAGGGACATTCCTGAGGGGTGGAAAAAGGCAAATGTTGCATCCCCAAATGGCCCCAAACAGCCAGTGCAGGGCTGAAGAGGCCACCCAGCTTCACCTTGGTCCCCAGGGACCACGTGAGCCCTCCCGGGGTGCATTTCTGGCACGTGAAGGAGCAGACGGTGACCAGGAGCAGCCAGGCTGGGCCACAGGGTCAATCGTCCCCAGCCGCATTGCCTCTCCCATGAGCGACAGCTCAAGGACGCAGGAGAGCAGAGACGTCCCTGGCCAGGGCTGAGCACATGTGCCTGTGCTGGGACATGGGGTCTGGCGGGTGGACATTGGCAGGCAAGCAGCAGGTGCAGTAGGCAGCTCAGGGAGCCGCACTCTGCCAGGGGCTGGCGGGCAGTGAATGCCACAAGGCACCACGCTGGGGTCCCTCACTCAGCTTTGCAGGTAACACCAAATCTGCAGAGACCAGTCACTCTGCTTGAGGGCAGAGCTGCCACCAGTGGGACCAAGCCAGGCTGGAGGAAGGGGCCAGCGGGGACCTTACAAGGACAAAGGCAAAGTCCTTCCCTGGGCAGGCAGAGCCCCTGGCAGCCGTGCAACTGGAGCCCATATCTACAGCGGGAGCGAGTTCAGCACGGGCCATGAGGAGGGAGCTGTGCCGGGCCATGTCCTGTGAAGGGACGTGTGGTGCTATGTCCCGTGGTGCTATGTCCCATGGTGGGCTCAGCTCCAGCATTGGTCCCTCTCACCCACCTCCCTGCCCCAAGCAGGGTCAACATTGGGGACAGCTGGAGCTGCTCTGGACTCACGAGCCCTGTTTTAAGGGTTGCTGTGCTCTTGGGGAGGAGTTTTTCCTGGTATCCGATGGGAATTTCCTCTGCCCCAGCTTGTGTCACCAGCTCCTGCGCTGTCCCTGTGCCCCGAGGGTGTCTGGCTCCAGCTCTCTGCACCCCAGGAGGCAGCTGAGGGGTCCCTTCTCCCCCAGGTGCACAAGCTGGCTCCTGTCCCTGCTGTGTCCCCTGCCTGGCCGGGTGTCCCTGCCTGTTTGATCCCAGGGCCCCAGACTGGGCGAGGAACCAGCCGGCAGGCAGGGGAAGGGTCCCGCTGGTACAGCGGCACAGGGG